ATCATAAATATTACATCCATCATGGACAAATACTTTCATCCTTTTTCACAGTAATAGGGAGAGCACTGCTTCACCAATATAGGGACTCTATATATGATCAATCCCTTATAGCATCCGCAAGAGTCAGCAAATTATCTTCCGCTATGTTTGCATGCCTGAAACTTGAACCATTCTTTCTCTTCTTTTTAGGTTTGCAGTTGGTGACCTGTGAAAAACATGAAAGGCATGCATCCATGAGTGGGTAATTAGTGTAGCAGAAGGAAGCATAAAAAAAGTTGAGTTTGAAAGTTACCTTAGAGCAACGTGATGTCCTTGGTTGCCTCTTATTACTTTGTTCTGTGGCAATGAGTCGCAAGTGCCTTTTTACAGCTTTCATTGAGCGAAATTGTTTGTGTGTCCCGGGTTCATAGTAAAACTGCAAATGAAGATAGACATTATCATGCAGCTATTTGTAGGATTTAGAAAAATCAGAGTAAAATCCTTGAGCAAATTTTCCTTCTGTTTTTTTTCTTAGATAAGGTGGGTATTCAGCCTTTTCAACCTACAAATCATATAGGACCTACAAATTGTCTCTTTAACTGAGTCACGTGAATTTTATACACTAATATCAATTATTATTCTTAAAGAGGCTGGGGTTTAATTATATTTGTTCCTTAAATTTTCAATTAAGTACACAATTGATACTGTCTTGCTCAACTCTTTTTAGTACCATTTATAACTTAAGGCTTACTTAGTTTACTAGTTAAAATTTAGCAGATAATGGTAGTATATAGAGGATGAGAAATAATTAGTGAATAGCATATAACATAAAGTAAATTGAAAATACTGGATTGTAGATGGTATGTAGCATTTAATTATATAATGATCAGTGGTTATTATTTGACGTTTGACTAATAAGAACATATTTAAAATTAATATTTTGTTTATATTTTTTATTATTGAAATTATTAATTTTATAAAAAAAAATAATAAGAGGAAAATAAATAAATAAAATAAAATATTCAAGTGGGTATCACACACGTATCTTTGTTTTTAACAAAGGAAAAGTTGATGATATAAGTTAATGAAAAAAATAAAAATATAATAATAACTTAATATTATTAAAGAGAAGAAATGAAATTGAAACTAATTAGATATTTAGTAATTAAAGACTAGGAAAAAATTGAAAAATTAAAATAGATAAATGTGTTAATTAAATAAAAATTTTCAATCCATTATCGATTTGGTATAAATTCAATACACTAATTATTTAAAACATAATCGCTATTTGTTAGTTTTAAATCACTAAATAAAAAAATTTACCAAACACTTATTCTATAATGATTTGGATAAAATAGTTTTCTGCTACTCATAAACCACTGTATCAAATCTGCCTTTAATAATAATTTGATTGAATATATAAAAAAAGAAAAAAAGAAAAAAAAGGGCAAGTAGAGAAATGGGGCAAATTACATTATCTGCCCGTTTGCTGTTCTTACGAGTCCTAGGTCTCTTCTCCATTAGCCACCCTTCCGGCAATCCGCAAAGCCGACCATCTAAATAGTTAGTACTAGCTATAAGGCGCTGCCCTTGAGGACTTCTCCCGTTAAGTAGTCTTGCTCCAATGATCACATTTCCATTTGTTACGTCAGGAAGATTGTTGACAACCACCATTTCTTCTCTTTGCTAAAGGGTTAGAGATGGGATTGAAAAGTTTATAAAAAATTATCACTGTGTCTTAAAAAAAAGGACGAGAGCGACTAGTAACTATATATATATATAGAGTTGGAGTCATCTACTGCAAATGAAATGAGGGTGGGAGGTAGGGGATATAAAGAAACAATTTCTGTAGTGTTTGAACAAAATACCATTCAATGCTCATAGATTTAATTCGCCGAACCTCTTATTTACACCCTCAATATTATTGTTTTTCTTGGTTAATATCCTTCAAAAATTTTCCTCTTATCAAACATTCTCAAGTTTTGAAAACCTGCAAAAAGCCCTAAAGTTAATAAAAATATCACGTGACTCTTGTGTGCACGTTAAATTCTGTTACTTGATTAATGACTTGTCAAGATTTTGCTCAAGCAGACAAATTTTATTT